CCCGCGTACCCCAAAGAAACGTGCGCGGAGAGACGTGCGCAGATGGACACGGGGGCGCAGCCGCCCTTCGGCCGGGACGTCGCGGTCTCGGAAGCCGAGCGCCGCGGGACGCCGTCTCCCTTTCCGAGTCTTCGCACGGCGACGGGTGTGAGCTGGTGTTATCTCAGCTACACCAAGCCGAGCTGCTCGCACGACGACGAAGGCGCCGCGCCCTATTCCGTCTACGCCACCTGGCGCGTCAGCTCCCGCAATCCCAATCCGCCGGAACTGAGCACCAGCGCCGCGCTGGCCCTGCTGCACTCGCGACAGAAGGGAGGCAAGTTGATCTACTCGATGGCTGCCATGTGTCAGCCCGACAACGGGAAACTGGTTTCATCCCTTGTGCTGTGGCGACAGACGGCGGAACAGGTGAGGAGGTTCAACGAAAGCCCCCGCTTGCGTTGTACGCCGGGGCTTTGCCCGTGTGAGTGGCACGAGTCGCATTATTACCGTCGGTGCAGTTGCGCAATCCAAACGATAGCCTCAGCAATATATAGAAATAAGCTATTACTATTTAATCAACAAATATTTTATTTTTTTTCATCTAACTTAATAACACGATAAGCTGGCGACTGCAGTAACCGCTGTTCCTTTAAGGGTTAGAAATATGCAAACAAATCTGCTGCTCGGGGTCCTTGGTTGACAATAAATTTTAATTTAGATTGTTATGTAGTTTTAATATTTGAACATCAATTTTTTTTATATTTTTAAATTTTAAAATTTTTTAATTTTTAAAAAATGATTGAATTTGGAATTTGAACACAATTCCTCGGAATGTAATATATTACATTTTTTTCTCAACGTGTATTTTTGTGTCATTAAAAAAAAAAACAACACAATTTTTGTATTTTCCTCAATATTTTTCCTCCAATGTTGTATTTTTTTCCCCCCAATATTTCTACTTTTCATCTAATATTTTTTGTTCAACATTTAACAATGTTTTTCATGTTTTTTTTTTTTAGATAGCCTTCAAGTGTTTTTCAGTCAAATGTTTTCTGTCCAACTCACTGAACAACCACGTTAGCATCGCTTCGTAATTGACGAGGGCGGGTTCCGACGTTCGTACAACTTTGCGAAAAGGAGAGATGAGCTAACAAGCCACCAGAGCTACTTGGAAATCACAATGTCCCGCGCAGCGCTACACAGGCCTAAAAAAAGACTATAGGACCAAAAAAAAAAAAAAAAAAGTGCGGGTTATTCCCAGCTGTGGAAGCGCACTTCAGTGTTTGCCAACCACGCCGTGTAAGAGGCAACAGCGACCGGGCGAGTCACGTTACACATCCAGCGTGTTAACAATACGTTTGCTGGTCCGAATCAGCTGCAGAGGAAACCGGAGCCCAAAGAGACGGACGTCAACCCGGGCAAGAAGGCGAAAGACACCAGCTTCAGACTGAAGGCTGCCAAAGAAGAGTGGAAGGAGAGGGAGGCGTCAAATACCCAAACAGCTCCCACGCGCATCAAGATCTTCGAGGGAGGGTCAGTCAAAGCAGCCCGCCCGGGGGGGGGGAGCTTTGTCAACCGTCTCCGAGTATTTAGCACTCACTATTTTCTCGTGTGGTCAGGTATAAATCCAACGAGGACTACGTGTACGTCCGAGGCCGCGGGCGGGGCAAATACATTTGCGAGGAGTGCGGCATCCGCTGCAAGAAGCCCAGCATGCTCAAGAAACACATTCGGACCCACACGGACGTGAGGCCTTACATCTGCAAGGTCTGCAACTTTGCATTCAAAACGAAAGGTGAGCGGATGAGGAAATCTGAGGAGAAAGTCAAGTTTCATGCACGCACGAACCGACAAAATCAACATCGGGTGTCGGAAACGCGACGGCGACGCGCTTGTTCCCCCCCCACTTTTTGCGGATCATAACATTCTTGAATCCGCCGTTAAGCGAAAGACTTGTGAGACTGAAATTAAAAATGCAAAAAAAAAAATGAAGAAGAACTCCTTGTGGAAACCGTAAGCTTGTTGCCATGACGACCGTTTTTCTACTTCCGTACTTCTGGTCGGGAGTTCTTCTTCCATTTAGAATACAAAGAAGATGAAGTCCTGGCAAAATTCGCTTTCAACAACAAGTTATCCGGAAAGTAGTCCCAAAAAAAAAAAAAAAAAAGCGCTTGAAAAATCACGATGTGGAAATGCAGCAGCAGCGGAACACCGCCGCGTCTATTTTGAGCTTCGGCGGGATCAGCTGATTTGTTCAGTCATGTCATTTCTCTTTCTGCGGCGTGCTCGTTTGCTCACACGGGCCAAAATTAAGGTCAATCGCTTCTCTCTCTCTCTCTCTTTCTCTTTAAAAAAAATCCAATCAAACAAACAAAAGGTAACCTGACAAAGCACATGAAGTCGAAGGCGCATATGAAGAAATGTCTCGAGCTGGGCGTGTCGGTGAGCATGGATGAGACGGAGATACAGGAACACGGTAAGAAAACGTGCATCAACCGATAGCGACGTTGAAAATATAAAAGACGGGCAGGGCAACATGGTGGACTCGTCGTTAGGGGTGCATTCATTTCGCTCTATGCACAGGTGGTTTCTTTTGTTGCTGTTGTTGGTCCCTCTTATAAGATCGACCTGGCAGTTTCATCCATCCATCTTCTAGCGCTTATCCGGGGTCGGGTCGCGGGGGCAGCAGTTTTAACAGGGAAGCCAAGACTTCCCTCGCCCCCAGCCACTTCTTCGAGGTCTTCCCGGCGGATCCCAAGGCGTTCCCAGGCCAGCTGGGTGGCTGGCATAGTCTCTCCAGCGTGTTCTGGGTCATTTCTCGGGGTCTCCTGCCAGTGGGACATGCCCGGAACCTCACCAGGGAGACATTCAGGAGGCATCCTAATCAGATGCCCGAGCCACCTCATCTGGCTCTTCTCCATGCGGAGGAGAAGCGGCTTGACGCTGAGCCCCTCCCGGATGACCGAGCTTCTCACCTTATCTCAAAGGGAGAGTCCGGACACCCTGCGGAGGAAAAACTCATTTCGGCCGCTCGTAATCCGGGATCTCGTTCTTACGATCCATAGCTCGTGACCTCAGGCAGTTGAAAAAAATGAAATGTCGCACTTCAGTTTTCCCAACCCTATCACAGAGTACAAACGACATCATTGCCATCGATTTGCCCGACATTCGTGTTACAAAACAAAACAAACAAAAAAAAAAAACAAAGAGCATCCACCCCTGTTCGCTCAAACAATGATTTTTGTTTTTTTGAAAGTAGACGAGGCGCCACACGAATCCAAGGCGGAGGTGGCGGTGGCGGCCAAACATCAGTTCTCCGACGCCGAATATTCGGACGGCATGGACGAAGACGCGGACGACGTCGACGAAGACGACGACGAGGACGACGACTGCGAGGGCGACTCCACGCCCAAGCTACGTTCCAGGAGCACCAGTCCGCAGCCGGGCGGCGGCATCGCGTCCCTGCCGGTCACCGTCACCGTCTCCGGCAGGTGGCCGGGCTCGGACCAGAGAGACAAGACGGTGGAGGATGACTCGCTGAGCGTTCTGTCCCCAGAACAGGCCGGCTTCCTCTTCGACCCTTATTCGTCGTGTCTCCTCTCACCCGGCTGGGAGTCCCCCATCAGGGAACTGTCCCCATCCCGTCTGCGATACCCGTCCCCGAGGCGTGAGCTCTCGCCGCGGGGTCGTTGCTCCCCCAGATGGGACGCCTCCCCGCTGAGGCCGGCCTCGCCCGGATTCTCGCCCATTCAGCATCTCTCTCCTCCTGTGGCGCCGGAGCGACCCGCGTCGCCCGGGGCGGAGATGGCCGGGAAGCGGGAGTCTGCGGTGCGGGGCAGACAGCGGGTCGTGCTGAGGGCCGTTTCGCCGCGTCGGGGCGGATCCCATCAGCAGCGCGGCTGCAGCGACAAGAGCAGACAGCAGCACCCCAAGTTCGACGTGGCTCAGCAACAAGGAGCCTTTGAGATGGAACTGGTACGGAACACTTTTTTTTTCCCAAGTGGTTAGCGCGTCGACCTCACGGTGCGGAGCTCGTGGGTTCGATCCCGGCTCCGGCCTTCTCGTGTGGAGTTTGCATGTTCTCCTCGGGCCTGCGTGGCTTTTCTCCGGGTACTCCGGTTTCCTCCCGCATTCCGAAAACATGCATGGCAGGCTGATTGAACACTCGAAATTGTCCCTTGGTGTGAAAGTGAGCGCGAATGGTTGTTTGTCTCTGTCCGCCCTGCGATTGGCTGGCGACCGGTTCAGGGTGTCCTCCGCCGACTGCCCAAAGACAGCTGGGATAGGCTCCAGCACCACCACACCCCCCGAGACCCTTGTGAGGATAAAGCGGATCGGAAAATGAACGAATGAATGAATATTTAACATGTAGCGGTCCGGTGAGCGAGTGGTTATCACAGTGCAGAGATCAATTCCAGCTCCGGCCTCCCTGTGTGGAGTTTTCATGTTCTCCCCAGACCTGCGTGGGTTTTCTCCGGGTACTCCGGTTTCCTCCCACATTCCAAAAAATGCTCGGCAGGCTGATCGAACCCTGAGTCTTAAAGCGCTCAGATACTAGGTCAAGGTCAAGGTCATCTTGATTGTCAACGACCCCCGAATTCGGAACACGGACGTTGACGAGTAGCACCGCTTCCCCTCATTTCTGAGCTCTCCGTGAACCAAACTTGACCACACGTGTCTGATGATTTTGTTGGCCCAACCCGTTTTGTGTCTCGCAGGAGCAGAGGAGCATCTCGAGCCTTCCCGTCGCCACCGGTGGTCCCCCGCAGAATCTCCTGAGCCACCTCCCTCTCCATTCTCAGCAGCAGTCCGTCAGCTTGCTCCCCCTCCTTCCCGTCGGAGGAGCCTTCCTCCTGCGGGCGTCACCGCCTTCCCCCGCGTCCTCCGACGTGCCGCCGAGCCCGCCCACCTCCGAAATGGCGCAAGAGGAACGGGGAAGCCCGGATTCGGGCATCAGGGACGGCGGCCAGGAGGAGAATGTCCAAACGTGCTTGAAAGCCATCGCCTCCCTCAAGATCAACACGGAGGATCCGCATTAGAGACCTTGGGCCGCCACCCACTTTGGCAATATGACGACAAAGCTTCTCGGCGGCAAGGAGTCCCGCTTCGCTCTTCTCTTCGGACTGCCTCGCTCACAATCAAAACGACGGGACCCTTCATAGATAAGCGCCCTCATCCGGGTGACCTTGGGTCACCACCCGCTTTTTTTGGGTCCCGACTGAGGCAATATCGCTTCTTGGCTTCTTTCGGACTGGATGAGCAAACGATTCTGAACTATTCTTAATGATCATTGGGTGCAGGTGCAATATGAAGATATCTACTGTATAATGCTAATATGCCTTTCGTTTGACATAGCAGTTTGCATACGATTGCACATAAATTATATTTATAGATAACTGTACAAACCCCCCCCTGCCCCCCCCTTTTATGTATTACACTCCCTCCTCCTTAGATGCGGTGTATTTTAACGTATGTGTACTTTGCAAATAGACTGTTGTTTCATGTACTCATATCGAGGTGTGATACAGTAGTGCAGTACTTATCTATATTTAAAATAAAATAAAGGTGGTGGGGAGGGGGGCGTACCCTGAGACGGCCCATATTTTGACGTTTCTTGCGCGACGAGGGTCTGTGCCTTTATTTCGCTTGGGAAGATGTTTCAAACGGTCGAGGAAAAGAGCTTTGCCACCTCGATTGATCTTTTTAAAAACAAAAAAAAAAAACAACAGAAGGACAAACGACAAGCTTTCCTTTTTTCTTCATGTTGTGGTTTTTATCTTGCATGAGATTTACGATTGCACAAACACGACAGGAAGTCAACATGTAATTACTGTAAGATGTATTTATATATTAGGACGTAAGCACCTATTGATACTGGTAAATATTTGACTACTATTTATATATGGTGTGCGCATATATATATATATATATATATATATATGTACTTATTATGCAGCAGTGATGCAAGTTATGCAGTGAGCCACCATGCTGGTGTTGCTTTTGATATCTTTTTTGCTCTCTTTCCTCTCCTGTATCGACCATGATAACAAGTCGCTGCCGTGTTCCCACAATGCACTTTGTCACGTTTTGACGTCGGGAATGAACGACGTGGGGAAACGTTTTGTTTCCCGGCGCTTTTTTGAAACATTCCACTTTTTTTTTTAATTTTATTTTTAATATAACGCCGTCAAGAGAATTGTATCGTCACAGGTCATGTTTAGGGATGGGCATTAAAACGTCAAAATGTACCATCTAAAATTCACATATATTTCAGAATAATGGAAAAAAAAAAAGATCATTGTTTTCCAAAGTAGAAGCAGATGTTTGCAAATGTCCATTTAAAAACAAATGCTCAGAATTTGGCATCTCGAAACGCTAAATCGGTTCTCCAAAATGATTCTCTCCATATACTTTAAGAAGGAATTATCGTCAAATGCCAACCCTCGTTTCACTGTTAAAACAAATTTAATGATGTTGAGCAAATATTTACACGTCATATTTATAAAACTTACTGACCCCAATAATCGCCGTGACTTGATCATTGTGAATTCTGTCAAATTAAATTTGTGCCACAATTTATAAACGATTATCAAAAATGATATCGCAAAAAGATTTTTAAAACAACCCGTTGATTCATTTGTCATTGTTTTTGTTGACCCGGTATTTTAAGAAAACGACATTTCTGTTCAAGGCTACTTTATTTATTCTTTAAAATTGTATGAATTGACATGCAATATTAACATTGAACGATGAACTTGGAAAATTCAGTGAAATTGATGACTTGCTCATGCTAATTCTGTTGCATTCAAATCTGTCTCGTCTAAAATTCATGAAAATATTTTCAATCAAGCTCAATGGAATTTCATTGACAGTCAATGTTATTGTTCTTCATGTTCTTCAAATATTTAAACAATTATTTGGGAGCTTTGTAACGACGCCAACCACCTTCCATGGCAGCGTATTATTGGATCAAAGACATCCCGTCAAATGTCCATCCCAACTTTCCATGGCGCGTGCGGCTGTTGACGATATTTACTGGAAAATGGAAGCGATGGTTCACCGAACGCTTCATCTTCTTTTTTTTTTTTTTTTTTTTTTTTTTTTTTGTAAATACATGGATTTTTTTGCGCAGCGTCGCAACTTTTTAACGTGGCTTGTTTGTATCGATGAGAAAACGCCGGCGATGCGGTGGAGCTTTTTATTGAACTGTCGCCACGTGTGCGTACGAAGGGATTTGACGAATTGCGTCCATGTTTACATAAAATCACATTTAAAGGTGCACTGCTTTAATGACGCGTCTTGCAGATTTGGATCACTTTTTTTTTGGTTTGTTTTTTTTTTTGTCAAAGCAGGTCGCTGATCCGATGTGAAGGGAAAAGCCCCGCTATGTATCCAGATTGTGTTTGTGTTTGTTTTTTTTTATGATGTATTCATGAATATATAGAGATACATATACCCATAGTATATATATAATACTGAAGTGCATTGTGCCTCTCATGTGTCGAAGAGGACAAATCATTTACCTCTCAGCTGAGATTTATTGAGGACAAAAAAAAAAAAAAAACCCTCAGTCGCCAATCCAACGTTTGACTTGTTTGCGTCAAATTTGCTCGGTCGGGGATGGAGTGCCTGCGATGCTTTTGAGGTGTTGTGGGAGGGGCTGTGGGAGGGGCTGTGGGATTCAATGATTATCATTTGGTGCTCAGATTCAATTCGGAATTGTTTGAAGAGAATATACTTCTAACCCAGGAATGTGTGTGTCTGTGGCAATTTCTTTGACGCTTTGTGACAAACCCTGGAGGAGGAGGAGGAGGAGGAGCAGGGATGAAAATGACTTCTTCATTCGCGACTTCGCGCTGGAAGGCTTGCGAAAATTCCTGGCTGAAGGTGTGGCGCAAATGATGTCACCTCAGAGCGTATCACTTCGGGCGGGGATGGGCAACGTACATGCTGGTGGGGCTCACATTGTTCATGGGAGGCCCAGGACCACGCACTTGCTAACCAGATGTATGACCAAAAAAAAAAAAAAAAAAAAAGCAATTTTAAATGTGTGCATATGTGCATAATACGCGCTCTTAATTAACTCATTCAGTACCAGCCAATTCTAGACGAAGTCTGAAAAGACGTTTAAAAACGTCTTTGAGAGTGAATGAGTTAAAATGGTTCGCCCAACAACAAAGCAAACAACAAAATAACCGCATCCAGCGATTCCCCCTGCCTCCCTCCAGTGCAAAGGGCTCCCTTGCATTAAATGACCATTCAAGGACGGCACAAAACTGCTGAACAAGAACAGAAGTGCATGAACTCATTTTGTACATTTCTCCCCCCCCCCCACAAAAAAATAAATTCACTCAAAATGTTAAAAAAAAAGATGTGCTAGTCACAAGAGTTGACATTAGTAAAGCTTCATTGGCCAGTGCCATTGATTCAGAAGGCCGTGGGCGGATTAGAATGACACGGCAACACAGAGAGCCTGAAATAAAGAAAGAACTTTTGCAATAAGTCAATACAAATCCATCCATCCATTTTCTGATTCGCTTTATCCTGACAAGGGTCGCGGGGGTGTGCCGGCGCTTATCCCAGCTGTCTTCGAGCAGTAGGCGGGGGACACCCTGAACCGGTTGCCAGCCAATCGCAGGGCACACAGAAACAAGCAACCATCCGCGTTCACACTCACCCCTTCGGGACAATTTCGAGCGTTCAAACCAGCTCTGCCATGCATGTTTTTGGAATGTGGGAGGAAACCAGAGTACCCGGAGAAAAGCCACGCAGGCCCGGGGAGAACATGCAAACTCCACACAGGAAGGCCGGAGCTGGAATCGAACCCTGCGCCTCTGGACCGTGACCGGGCCACCCACCGAATGCAAATCCACGGATCAATCAACGCGCTAACCACTCGTCCACCGGGCCACCCACCGAATGCAAATCCACGGATCAAATATTCGTGAATCGAAAACCATGAAACCGTGAGTGTTCGGTAAATCACAATTCCCACCCAGGGTGTCAATGACCAGCGTGTGACAAGGTGCCAGCTGTTTTTTTTGGGGGAGTGAGGGGGTTATAGCGTCCTGTCCTGTCCTGTCCTGCACCCCCACCCCCTCCTCAATTCCCCCCCCTGCTTGGGGGTTGGTCTATTTTGAGGTGGTCTTATCACAGCTGTTGCATCTGTGGTGGCAGGAAGCCTGTCCGAGCCCCTCCACGCTCTTTCTTTCCCCCTCCGGCCCTCGGTCCCGGTAAGACCCCCTTTCCCTTGCGTGTTAGCTGACTTTAGCCCATTCGCATGAAGATAACATGAACCTGACATAAGCTGTGTTATTTTATTGATTTATTTTTTTTAACCGCTACGTGCTTGTTTGATCATCGTATGTCATTGACTTCGACAACAGAGACGACTTTTCAATGTCCACTCCCCATAATAGCTTGGCATTTTAGCTTCCCTTCCACGTTATTCAAAGCAAATCACTGCCGTTTTTTTTTGTTTTTTTTGTGCACGCAGCTGCCGCCGCCACTGCCAACCATCAGTAAGTAGCGTGGGTTTAGGAGGAAATAAATAAATGTCTTGCCCATGTAAAGAGAGTCTTAAAATAGCCCCGTGGCTCTGGAACAGGTGCCGTGCGCTCAGCTTGTGAAAAGCGGCGTGAAGGCTGCGCTAATTTTATGCGCGTAAACATTCTCCGACTGGGTCCCCGTGCAACATTAGTGCTTGTTTTTTTCCCATCGCTCCCTTTTTTGAATGCATATAAGCATAACCTGCGCGATTCGCACCAATTTAGTATGAAATGGCACAGTCAAAATGGAAGCGCTGTCCTGTACCATGCCACCTTTTCCAATTATCTTTTCCTTTCGAAAAGTCCCCAGACGTGACTTCGGAGCAGAACAGGTGCTGCGTTTGGCAGCAATTTAGTAAGAATTGGTGAAGCAAAAAAAATGACAGTCGTAACAAAAGTAAGTTTAGAGTCTCAACTCAACTCAACTGTATTCCGAGAGCACTTTAAAACAACCGCCAGAACCAAAAAAAGGTCCAACAACAAACAAACCAATACATTAATACTAAAGAAAATGGAATCTGAAAAGGAACTCTAAAATGTAAAGGGAGCCAGTGGAGGGATGCCAGAGTAGGAGTTATATGCTCCCTCTTACGAGTACCAGTCAAGAGGCGAGCAGCAGCATTCTGGACCAACTGGAGATGCAGAATGGAGGTCTGCATTCCAGAACCATTCCAAACCACAATGATGTCAATTTTGGACCGCCGAATGCATTTTTGTTGTTTTCAGTCCGACTGAATTATAAATGCCGGAACCTCTAAGGTCAAACACAATCCAGTTAACGTCCAGTTAATAACCATTTTTTTTTCCCCCTGCAGAAAATAAAAAGGCAAACAAAGTGCAAACCCACAAAGAAACGGCGAACGATTGCCTCCGAGTGACGCCAAACAAAGATGGAGTCCTCTCCAGAGAACAGCACCACCCAGGCCGAGAGCAGCCCGGCGGTGTCAGCCGGAGACGCTCGCGCCGACCTGACCGACGACCTCGGCAAGCAACTGGAGGACATCATCAGCACCTACCAGGCCGACGAGGCTCCAGATGAGCCCGAAGACACGGAGGAGGTCCAGCCAAACACCCGACGGGAGCAGAAACTGGAGAAAAAGATGCTCAAAAGCTTGGGTAGGTTTCGTACGGACAACGTGAATAGATGTCACCTCGGGTGGAGCTTCCACAGGAAACCTGAAATCTCTGCTTTGTGAATCATGACAGTTTTGGTATCGCGACATGATAAATGGAGAACATTTCGTTTGTCGTGCGGATCCAAAAATCGGGATTAAATATCGTTTGTGGAATGGACCCAAATCAGAAAGTCAACAGATTTCAGTTGAATTGAGGTTGTTTGGTTTGTTTGGTACGCGTGGATGCTTCCCATGCGAATCAAAGACAAAGGCACTCGCGAGAGATTCAACGGCCGCGTTGGTATGATCCAAGTACACGTAGATACTGTTAAGTTTCCGTCAAGAGCTCAATGTTTGGACACAGACAAAGCAAATGTTGACCAAATTTGTATCTTTGCGATAGTCCAAGAAAAATGGATGGACTGTCAACAATAATCAAGATCTGAAATCTGGATTAAAATCGGGATTTATGATCTAAAACCTGGACACATTGTGACCCAAAGACAAATGGA